TAGTGTATCTTTGTGCTCCTGTTGCCAATCTAGTGCCTTCTAGTAAGTTTGGACTTCACTAATATGTTTAGTCATGTGGCTAAGAATTCTGGGACCTCCAGTGCCAACATAAAGAGAAAAAGCCATATGGAGAAATTATTATATGCATTTTAAAGTGCAGCTTTAATATTACCTTTTCCAAGCCCTCAATTTTCTCTTTTTTAAAATGTCACACTGCATTTATTTCTAATGAAATGAGAAACATTTTAATACAAATACAATTTTTGATTTAAAAAAAATATATTTCAAATTAAGAAATTTATTTGATCACCTAAACCTGGTAGACTCATAATAAAAACAAAAAATAATTAATCCTCAAAAGCTTTCCAGAAAAGCCATGTTTTCATCTGACTTCAGAAGTCCATAAGAGTGAGGGGTACCGGTACCTGCATTGCAAGGAGCAAGCTATTTCAGAGGAAGGAAGAACACTTCCTGTTGGGCCCCTCATGTCAAGTATCCTAGTATTTTATTTTATTATTTCAAATGTATTATGGCCATTGTATTCCAATGGACTCTTGGTACTGTACAAAACCAAAACCTTCATAAAAACAGGTAAACCATAAAACCAGATAGCCCAGACTAAAGCATTTCAAAAAGTATCACAAATCAAACAAAATGGGAACCCCCAAAATACAATAATACATGAACCCTAGGCCAGGTCTTAAATATTTTCCCAAATCCAAGGAGAATAAGTGGTATCCTTATTTCTGGAGGGATGCTGTTCCAGAGGGTAGGGAGCAAACAGAGAAGACATGCTTCCTCTGGCTCCCCAAATCACATCATTTAATAGAACACACACTCTGCTGAAACATACCAACATACATAATTGGAGACAAGCAGTCCCTCAGATATCCAGGCCCTATGCCACACAGGGCTTCATAGGAACTAATCAGTCCCTCAAATTGCATTCGGAAGCTGAATGGCAACCAATGCAGTTCACATAGCAGTGGTGACACATGGGCATATATTACTATATTGTTGGGAGAAAAATACTGACTTTAAACAAGAAATTAAAAAATATTTGGAGTTTGATACAACAAATTATCTTTTAATAGCATGCACAGCTCAATGATCATAAGAATGCAAAGAGCACCCATCTAAGCAAGGTTAAGGATTATATAGTCCCAGAACTTTACATAGAAATTATAGAAAGCAATATAATTCATGTTGTGAATTTTACAGCCAGAATCTGATATTGCTATGAGATTCCACATTCTTACAAGGGCTCCAGGCCCACCCTCTTCTAATACTAGCACCTTTTAACCTAAACAATGTCATTTATTGTATTCATTTAGTGCTTCTTTTTACACCAGGGAAAGGGCAACAATCTGGTTTCTGTTATTTGTCTCCTTCTCATTTAGGGTCATTAGGTTGCTTCAGTTCTTCTGCTCCAATACACATTTCAGAACTATATGGAAAAGGTAGGATATTACCTGTTTCCCACATTCCTCCATTTCCTTCCTCTGGAAGTAGACAATGTGATAAGAGAAGGCCAAAATAAGGTGCAGATCACCCTGGGACTCTATACAAATAGGTTTTACATAGTTGATGGCAGGAATTATAAATAGTACAACAAGCATCACAATAAGAAAGTGCACATAGATGGTTTGCAAGGACAGCCCCATGTAAATAAAATTACAGCAATCTAATCAAAAGATGACAAGGCATTAATAACTGTCTTCAGAGAATCATGTTCCTGTTACGCTATACAGAAGCCATTTTAGTTAAGTCTCTGCCTGCTCTGTTAGAGGCCAGGAGGACTTCAGACTGAAGCTTGGTCTTTCCAAGGGAAGAGATGCCCATCATAGAGCCATAGATGGCACAGCCCTGAATTATATCTGTTTTCTCCATCCAAATCCTGAACACCTCCAGATTATGACTTTTATCACCCCTCCCAGCAAGGGGTGTTATTTATCCTGTGTTATTTATTTATATTCACCAATTTGGAGTGAAGTATCATCAATAATCAATAATAATGTTTATTGATGATATTTCACTCCAAATTGGTGGACATAAATAAATAACACAGAATATAAATAAAATTAATAATTTAAAGCATTTTAAATTAACTTGTAATGTTATTGTAAATATAAGTTAAGTAATTTTGCAGTACATGTTGAATTAAAAGAGCATTATTTTAAAATATGTTTTCAGGTACTGTAGATGGCCTCTTCCATATGCGCACAATCATGACAAATCCATTTTTATGGAACATATTGGAACACACGTAAAACATTCTACAGCCCTCTAAGTGTAGACATCCACTTAAAACTCTCCAGTTTACAGTGAAAGGCTTTTGACTAAATAGATAATGTCAATCTGGAAGCATCCATCAAAGCATTTAAACTTAAATCACAATCAAAATGAAGTAATTTACAGAAAAATTCTACCTATTAACATATCTACATTCTACATATTAATCTCTCCAAACAAACATGCATATAATCTGTCCAATAACTGAAGTGCTCTGGGAGTATTACCAAGAGTGCTTTCTTTCATATGATAAACTTTTCCATTAGACAAAGGCATTCTAAGTAAAATAACCATATCACCATGTGATGGCAGCAGTCTCTACAAGTACCTTGTAATATACTTCAGTATGGCTAGTTTACTTGAGGCACTTAATAGTTTTTGGAAAGTAATTATTTAAATAATATTTTAAAATTAATTTTCCCAATTCAGTATTTCTTAAATTTATATAGGAGTATTCTATAATCCCAAATATGCACACAAAGATGGACAGCATCTTTAGTAACTTGCTGACCAACTGCATTCAACATGTAGTCCTTAATGGAACAGCCTCTACAGTACATGGAGGAAAGTAGGCAGTGGGGTACCCCAAGGTTCTGTCTTAGGCCAAGTATACTTCAATATTTTCATAAACGATTTAGATGAAGGGATAGAAGGGGAACTTATCAAATTTGCAGATGACACCAAGATGGCAGGAATAGCCAACACTCCAGAAGATCGGCTCAAGATATAGAAAGCTCTCAACAGACTTGAACACTGGGCTCTATTTAACAAAATGAAATTCAGTGGTGAGGAAATAAGGTTTTACACTTAGGCAAGAAAAACCAAATGCATAGGTATTGTTGAAAGAAAAATCATCATGTCCAGTCCAAACCAGGAATAAATAAAATGGAGGCTGTTTGTAAAGACAATTCTTGTTTATTTAGTTGCCAGAAACTTCAGTGACTCAGCATGTTTCTGAGGTAGCTGACAAAATGAAGCTGGGAGTGGGTGGTTTCTTTATACCATTTTGGGGTTTTGTGTCTGCAGTTGTTCCTGATTCTGTGCAATGTACTTTGACCTGAGCTTGAGTTTGCCCTTTTGGTATTCTAATGGTGGTGGGTTAATCCTATTATGTCCTAAAAGTCATGTTCTTGTCATTGGAGTCTTTGTTTTGCCAATCCCCTCAGCTCCAGCCTTCCTGGAGCTGTGACTGAAGGCATTTTGCTTATTAATAGGTGGCCCCAAATCTCCATTTCTAAAAGCTGGCCTGCTTGGTTTCTGCCTGGGGAAACTTGGGTTGGTTTCTGCCTCCCCTAAGATTTTTTTCCCTCCATTATTCCTTTGGGAAAATATAATATTCTGTCTTTTTTAATATCCCCCAAAATAGTTCCTTCCCTGGGGAGGGGGTGCTGATTTCCAATGGTATAGAATAGGCAGTATTTGGCTCAATAGTAGTAATTGTGAGAAGGATCTAAGAGTCCTTATGGATAATCACTTAAATATGAGCCAGCAGTGTGCTGCAGCCACCAAAAAAAGATAATTCAGTCCTAGGCTGCATTAACAGAGGGATAGAATCAAGATCGTGTGAAGTATTAGTACCACTTTATAATGCCTTGGTAAGACCACCCTTGGAATATTGCATCCAGTTTTGGTCTCCACGATATAAAAAAGATGTTGATACTCTAGAACAGGGATGTCAAACTTGCAACGTCACGTGACATGTTGCGACATATTGTAACTTTTTTTCCATTGCTGGCAATGGGGTGGGCAGCTTCACCATGATGCATCCGGCCCAGGGGCCGAGCAGTTTGACACCCCTGCTCTAGAAAGAGTGCAGAGAAGAGCAACAAAGAGGATTAGAGGCTAAAACATATGATGAAAGGTAGGAATTGGGTATGTGTAATCTAACGAAAAGGACTGGGGTGACATGATAGCAGTGTTCCAATATTTGAGGGGTTGCCACAAGGAAGAGGGGGTCAACCTACACTCCAAAGTACCTGAAGGCAAGAAGCAATGGTTGGAAACTATTCAAGGAGAAAACCAACCTAGAAATAAGGAGAAATTTCCTAAAAGTTAAAACGGCTTGCCTCCAAAAGTTGTGCATGCTCCTTTGCTGGATGTTTTTAAGAAGAGATAGGACAGCCATTTGTCTGAAATGGTATAGGGTCTCCTGCTTGAGCAGAGGGTTGGACTAGAAGACCTCCAAGGTCCTTGCAACTCTGTTATTCTGTTAATTCTGTTAGTTCACTTTTTGGGTACTTAGAATCACCCATGGGGTGGGGGAGTAGAGAAGAAGCAATTGCGTTGGCGAGGTTCCCACCTGTTAGATTTCGGAATGTTTTTTCCCCCAGATATCTACCGATTCCATTTCTACCCTCTTTCTATCACGCGCAACGTATGACTCGATTCACGCGTTTCTCCCGGCACTAGAGTTGCCGCTTCCGCACGTGCCTCCTTCCTTGCGCCCAACGAGCTTGTTGGGTGCTGTTCCAGCGGCTATTTACACGCCCCGCGCTGGAGGAAGGCGGCGCCTCCACTTTCCTTCCCCTCTTTTGGAACTGATGTGCTTTAGAAAGATGAGGGCGGGGCGGGAAAGGGGAATCTAAGCTTCGCTTGTCCACTGGGAGGAATCCACCGCGTCTCTTGGAAGGCCGTGAGGAGAATCGCACCCGGTGGAGAATCTGCTAGGCTCTCTCTTGACTTGATTGAGTGCGTCTCTCTCTCTCTCTCTCTCTCTCCTTTTCGCGAAGGGCCCCTCCCGGCGTTTCTGAAAAGGCGCTTCCACCCCAGCGCCCATCTAGCAATCCCTAAAAAGGCTGCGAGATATAAAAGGCCCGACGGGATCTGCCGAGGGGAGCGACGCGTCTTCTGAAGGCGGCGGGCCGAAGCCTAAGCTGGAGAGAATCATGCTCAGGACGGCGCTTGGGAAGTCCCGCTCCCTCGCTCTCCGCAGCTACACGGATGGACTGAGCCTACCCTAGCCCGAGGAAGCATGACAAGGGTCCCCGGCCGCCGATCCTGGGCTCCGGTAGCCTTGCTGGCCCTGTTCGCAGAGCTGGCGTCGAGCCACCCACAATGCCTGGATTTCAAACCGCCTTTCAAGCCTCCTCGCCCGCTCACTTTCTGCGTGCAGTATTCAAACTTTGGCTGCTGCGATGCGGGGCGTGATGCTGTCCTGTTGGAACGTTACTATCGCATCAGCGAGCGTTTTGACCAGGCCACCTACACCGCTTGCGCCAGCCACCTGCAGAACCTCCTGTGCCAGGTGAGGTGGGGAAGGGGGCCGGGCGCGGGCCAGATCTCCTCCTCCCACCATACCACCACCACCACCTGCATCCATCCATCTCTTTTTTCTTAGCCAGTTTGGATGGTGCTGGCACCGTCCTTGCTCCACTGAAATAGCAAGATTGCCTGCGTCCATTTCACTTTGAAGGTAGAGCCCGTATCTGCTTGCAGAAGGTCTCTTCCAAAGTTCAGTGTCGGGCATTGTTGAAACTTTTGGGCTGTCATCCTCAGTCTGCTGCCCTTGCGATTTGTTGGACTTTTAACTCCCAGGTTTCTTCTCTAGCAAAAAGAGTGAGAGTTGTCCTGCACGCTATCTTGAAAGCATTTATCTGAAGACTGCTTGAAATAGAAAGTGTGAAAAAGACCTTTGCTGTCAGTCAGACTACAAGACTAAATAGATAAAGGGTCACCTTGTGTAAGACGATAATGTCCTAGACTCTCTGCTGCTGTTAAAGGAACACCACTAGGGTGTCCTTCATTTTAATGTAGTTCAGCAGGTACTGCAACCCCTTCTCCCTACTTAGGCAAGATATTATGCAATACCAGTTCACCAGTTCACTATTTTCTGTTCTGTAGTTCCTCTTTTTTCTGTCAGCTTCCTATTTTTTATTAAAAGAAGCCTTTAAAAAGTTAAATGGAAAGGGCATCTGTTAAGAATCAAAATGGATATCCAAGAACACCATGATACTTTTGGGCACTATGGTAGTTATCCTGGCATAACACAGCATTCAAGGCGTTCAAACCGGTGAGTCCTAGAAGAGATCAACCCCGACTGCTCTTTAGAAGGCCAGATCCTGAAGTTGAAACTCAAATACTTTGGCCACCCTATGAGAAGGAAGGACTCACTGGAGTAGGGCCTAATGCTGGGAAAGATTGAGGGCAATAGAAGAAGGGGACGACAGAGAATGAGGTGGCTGGATGGAGTCACTGAAGCAGTAGGCATGACCTTAAATGGACTCCAGAAGATGGTAGAGGACAGGAAGACCTGGAGGAACGTTGTCCATGGGGTTGCGATGGGTCAGACACGACTTCGCAATTAACAACAACAGCATTCTTTCCCCCCTTTTACCTTTCAGTAATTTGGAGATTTTGTATAGCTACTTATGATGACTAGTAATCACTGATAAATTCTTTGTCCAAAAATTTTTTCCTTTAGGTGGGTGAAATTAATAATTTACTACCTGACATGTGCTTGCGCCACTTGATTTCCACAATACACATTGAAGACTGATCCTCTGTTCATCCCAGATGTTAATACTAGTGACATCTTGACTCTTCCATATAATATGTGTAAAAGTTGTTTATAAAAGTTTCTGGACCAAGGACTTGCAGATGCCTCTTATCTATGCCATAGATTAGTAAAATTATGTTATCTGTTCTTAAGACATGAGCTTTCCTCCAGCACCAGGTGTACTGGACAGGTCTGAATGAATGTGCTGTGTGCTTCTTATTTCTCTAAGACTGCTACCGATATATCTGGTGATTCACTATGCCTCCACCTTGTGCCTTTTCACTGTTCAGCAAGATCATCTTCCAACATTAAACAAAACAAACATGATATAAATATTTATTTGCTTGAGTTTAATTGTCCTACACATTTCTGAATTTGCTGAGAATTGCTTCCGTTCAAATGCTACTGGCAGCTTTGTCTCATATTAGCAATATTATATGATTGGTTATGCCTTATCCCTTTTAAATGCAAGGTTTAAAAGGGCCTAGAATGATATAGCATATTTTCCTGGCTGTATCCTCAGACAACAGTCTTCCTACTCCAAGTATATAATTCAGTATTTCTATTAATTCCAATGTTTTTTTAGAGATAAATGGTTTGAGATGACTCACATAGCACATTCGTTCAGACCTGCCTGTACATAGTAGATATCTAGCTTTGAAGAATTTTGCTCAATAATTAAATATGAACAAGTATAATATTTGTGATTCATTTATTTAACCGTGTTCTCTTTCATTTTAGAACTTGTGTGGAAAAAATATCATGTTTCAGATCATATCTATACAGAAATATTGAAAATTCAAAAGGGTTCACAAATTTTCAAACCCTACTTTATAAACTAGGTCAATATCGTTCCCTCTGTTTGTGTCTTCAGGTTGGGAGGGACAAAACAGCAACAAATCAGAAAATGCTGAGCTTTAGGAAGCCTTAAAATTTGAAATACTGTAGTACAAAGTCTTTAAAGGTGAAAACAACTTAAGGAGATAACCCTCCCAAATAACCTGATGAAGATCACCTAAGCTCAATTGGTCTGCACCATGGGCCATTATAGTTAAAATGTTGTTAGCAGCAATAAAAGTTATAGTTTGCTTAGAATGCATTTTTAAAGGAGAACTGAAAGCAGTAGTTTTCCACTAAGGGGAAATTATAGCAGTTTTCTAAGGTGAATATGAGATGTGCCAAGTATGCATAATAAATAAACAAGTCACCCTTTAGCAACGCAAGTTCTTCTATTCCAGCTGCTTTCACTCATTTCTTAAAGGTAAGAAAAAATGGAATATTGTACAATCATAGTTGCTTTTCTTTCATCTTACTAATCAGCCTAAAAAATTTTGAATAAAAAACTTTTCCTGGTCCTAGTGCCAGTGAGGTTTTGAGTCAATGAAACTCTTTACAGTTTTAAGTGAAATCAGATGTTATGCTGGATTCTTTCTTGCATCTTGTCCTTAACTAGTCCAGCTGTATACTTACTTCAGCCAATAGTAAAAAAAATGACAAGAAGAAGCATTTGAATTTTAATAGTGAATGTTAAGGTTTTTTTAATTTGTAATATAAAAATACAAAAATGGCACTCAGTATTGTCTGCAAATCAAAAACCCAAATTCTCCTCTTCCATTTTTAAGTCTTTCTAGTTCTTTTTTTGTGGAGACAAGGATTTGTTATTTTCTCTTTGCAAATAGGCCCTAAAATTAGAGCTGCCCTATCTGAGCTGCAAAAATGTGAACTACCACTAGGTGGTAAGCAAAAAATTAGTTTTGTGTATCATTATGCTGCCATCTACTGGTTGTCTGGTCCTTTACAGCCCACATATAATAGTGTGATTTGTTACCAGTGTGTAATGAAAACATCAGTTATATTTCCAATATCAAGGGCCAGAGTCCTAGGGTCTATGCAGCATTTTATTGCTCCTCAGAAATACAGGAATAACTAAACTATAGAAAACAGACAAATAGATGCAAATTTGTACAATGCATAGAGCTTGCAGTATTTCATATTTTGTTCATGTAGATCTCATATGTATCAGATCTCATATGTATCACATGATAAAAGCTAAGTATATTTGCAATATGGTATGATATTTTTTTCATGGTGATTTCTAGCTGTTTCCCCCATATATTTATTTACTAAGTGTTATTTATTAAGTGTTTTTTATATGATTGGATACTTTTATTCAAGATACCAGGTTTTTCTTTGAACCATATTTAGCTTATACTGGCTGAATGCATAATGGGAAAACAACCGTGGTGTCTACTAGTTTTGTTTTAGAGATTCAATTTGGTAAGGTGGTTAAAGACATTGGACTAGAAACTGAGAGACCATGAGTTCTAATCCTGCCTTAGACTTATACTTGGGCAGGGCCAGTCACTCTCAGCTCTAGGAAGAAAGTATAAGCAAGCTATTGCCAAAAGATGTTGCCAAGAAAACTGCATAGACTCTGGAGTTGCCCAGAGTAAATTTGATTTGATGAATCATAACAATGTCTATCCTTGGGATATATGCTACAGTGTTTGAGCAAATACTCTACAGCTGTTTTGTTTTTTTAAGCAACACTTCTTGTACGAGATCCCTATTTATTTATTTGATTTTTATCCCACCTTTATTATTATAGTACTCCTTCCTCCTATTTTCCCCAAACAACTACCCTGTGAAGAGGATTGGGCCAAGAGAAAGTAAATAGCCCAAAATCATCCAGCCAGTTTTTCATGCTTAAGTCAGGACTGGAATTCATGGTCCCCTGGTTCCTAGGCCAGCACCTTAACCATTAACTGGATAAGAGAGATTTATTTCTTCGTATTGGAAATGGACATTGTCTTATAGTTAAAGGAAAATTTTATGACAATACAGTATGCAGTAACCATTCCAACATTACTTGCAGACTTGTCCATGAACAAAAGAACAATAAGGGGATATTCCTAAGCTTTTCTAGGCAGATATTACCCTCAGCCCTTATGTAACTCTGTATTAGAACCAGCTGTAGAAATGTATTGGATTATCAGATTGCACAGAAACATTTTACTGAAGTTTTGCATAGGATAAAGCAACTACTAAGTTTTTCTCCAACTTTTTTCTACTTCTGCTTTATCTCAGTGTGGCTAAACAGATGGCTAATAGACTTTCATTCTGAATATCAACATTCAAATCTAATTGCAAAAAAGCGCAGTGAAAAAAATGAGTAACTATTTCGTTTTTGCAGATACAGAGAGAAAATTTAAGATGCAGACTATTCTAGGCATGTACTATTTTTGCAGTGACCTGGAAATAGTAGAAATCATAAAACAGTTTATGATTTCTTTCTTAGTCCTTCACACTCTTTTTCATAGGTTTTTTGATATTTATTCTGCAACTTTCTAAACTATTATAAAATACGTATTGTCTGTACAGTGCTATCATTTTAAATGTTTTAATTGTCTTGCATTGTTAAATCTTCCAACATTTAAGTAATGGTTATGCTGCCCTTTGCAGGCTCAGTTATCTAAATACTGTAATATGGCAGATTTCTGATTGGCCCAGCTTCTAGATAGACTGGATTTAATCTTACTAAATGGCTGTGCTAGGGGAGACTTAAACGGGCAACTACCCTTCTGAGGCTCCAATGGAACAAATGTGGTTGATTATATTATGGGCCCACATACAGTACTTACTGTATGTTTAATAGCCAGAGTCAGATCATTTTATTTCAATACTGTACTGTTGAATGAATATTTCCCATTTTCCTAGTGCAGGTTTAGGTCTGTATTGAGAAGCACCTTCCACTCACCTATTTTGTCTAAAACAAGGCTGCTCTGATACTGAAGCATATGGGGGAGCCAAAACAACTGATGTGAGATCCTCTTTTATTTTTAGGAGTGTTCTCCGTATGCTGCTCATTTGTATGATGCTGAAGACCCTTCTACTCCAGAGAGAACTGTTCCTGGACTTTGCCAAGATTACTGCATACAAGTGTGGCAAGACTGTAGGTCAATGTTCCGTTACTTCACTCCTGATAAAGAGTTACTGGCCCTGGAAAATAACAGGGTTAAGTTTTGTCGTTATTTGTCCTTAGATGACACAGACTACTGTTTTCCTCACCTCTTAACTAATCAGCATCTTAATCAAAACCTTGGATTAGTGACTGCTGATTCAGAAGGGTGTCTGCAGTTATGCTTAGTTGAAATTGCTAATGGGCTTAGGAATCCTGTTGCTATGGTACATGCAAACGATGGAACTCACAGATTCTTCATTGCAGAACAAATTGGTTTAGTCTGGACCTACCTTCCTGATCTGTCACGGCTTGAAAAACCATTTTTGAACATCAGTGACGCTGTACTTACCTCACCTTGGGAAGGGGATGAGAGAGGATTCCTAGGTATTGTCTTCCATCCTAAATTCAAATTTAATGGTAAGGTATATGTCTACTATTCAGTTGAAGTTCAATATGAAGAGAGAATCCGAATCAGTGAGTTCAGAATTTCTCCTGGTGACATGAATTCAGTGGATCATGGTTCTGAAAGGTATGCCCCTTTACATGTCCAATGTATTTAAGACATTTAATGGCAAATATGAACAGTACTTCTAAGGACTGGCAATAGTGCCTAAATTTAATATCTGTATGTTTTAGTTGCTTGCAGTCTAATGCATATGTATACTAAAGTGTTCTTATTATGAGGGCATTTTAAAAGAAGACATTATATGTGCTACATCTCAAGTGTAAATACTAAATACACTTCATATTATTTAAGTCCATATGTTTCTTAGGTACTTTTTGAATTCATCTCACCTCTAATCTGAGTAGCATATAATAATATCATTTATTGAAGAATAATTATTAGCCAGCTATTATCATAGTATAATCTTAGGCAATAAGATAAATATTGGAAAATGTAAAAAAAAATCCCTCATGGAAATTGTATTTATTTGCTTCTTACTAGAGTCACTAAAGATTCTTTCCTCACTAAATCACATTTGCTAGTAATCCCCACAAGTAACTTTATTACAATATGTAGTTTGGTTAACATGGCTTCAGAATTTGGAGTTATTTTCCTTTACAATCTATTGCCTTCAAATGGGTGCTTAAGCGAAATGAGGTCCAGCTTTCTGGAAGTCACGTGCTTATGGAAGGCATACCCAGATTATTTGTGCCAGAGGCAACAAGTGTTCAGTGAGTGAAATGCTCCATTTCACAAAGAAGTGAAAGACACAAAAGAATCTAGTAAATATTTCCTATGCTGATATTACAAATTGTTGTCTGAACCATTGTGAATTCTGCTAGTCAGAATAGATAATAGTGAATTAGTTAGACCAGTAGTCTGACTCATTATAAAATGGTACAGGTTCAAAAAACGCTGAGATGGAACAATAAGCGAAGCACTACTCCAGATTGAATTATTATATTACCCTTTGAAGTTCCCCCAAAAGTGTTACTGTATTGACTTCCATAACTTTTCCCAGTGTTGCTCTGGTCCAGTTAACTATTTCTTGGGAATAAGTAATGTATTATGAACTTGAGTATTCTAACTATACTATCTGAAAGAAATGGAACAATTTTATTTGGATCATTTTCATTTTAACCCATTGCTGATGGGAGATTACACTCTCTACATAACCTGGAACAATCCACTATTTTTGTTTGTTAGAAGACCCATCAACCAATTTACTGCCCAACGTTTAGCCATATGGACAGCTTTCAACTTGTTTTCTTAATTTTTTCAAAAATAGGATAGCTGTCACTTGCAAAGATTCCAAGTGACTAATCTAGGACTGGACAGTATACTTTAATAGAACATTTCAATCCATGTTAACTGGATATACAGATGGCAAATAGATCACTGCATAGAATAGATGCTGTGCAGTTTATACTCATGTTTCTAGCATTGCGCATATATTCTTAGGGTGTGCTTAAACGGGGGGGGGGGGGAGAGCAGGCATTAAAATTAAGTGCAATCCTATGTCTTTTCAGAAGTAAGTAACACTGATTCCAATGAGAATTACTCCTAATTAACTATATACAAGTGATAGGTATATATTTAGCATAAAGTCTGAAGTGTTTCATTGTTCTCTGAGAACAAAATATAATCTTGTACGTGTGGAATACATAGCATTTCCCACCACTGTTTGTAAATCTTTTTAGTGAAAATTACATATCTTTCCCAGAGCCTGTTTGGACTCTTCCATTTTCTGCTTTTGAAAGGCATTTGAAGAGCAGGCCACCAGACAATATTGATTGCTGAAGTGTTTTTTTTAATGAACTTCCTCTTATTATTATTTATTTTTTATGCCCTCTTCATTCTGATTGTTTTTAATGTGAAGCCACTTTAAATCTTTATAATTCGGTAGCCACACATAAGCCAAATAAATATGTTTAACAAAATAGCCATTTCAGAAAACTTACTACACCTATTTTATTTTTGCAAGAATTTGAAAGGTGTTCTGGTTTATGTCTCTAGTAAAATAAAACAAAAGACAACACTGGATTGGTTTGCACCAAGCTCAAAGTAAGAATGTACAATATGGGTATACCTGAATTAAATTAAATTCAGACAGTCAGGCAGTTTTGAAAACTTGGTAGTTTTATAGTTTTATAGTTTTATAGTTTTATAGTTGTAGTTTCACTATACTGTTTGTATAAGAGTTGTGCTTTCTTCTTTTACACTCCTAGGATAATTCTGGAGATAGAAGAGCCAGCTTCCAATCACAATGGAGGAGAAGTATTGTTTGGAGATGATAGTTATCTTTATATCTTCACAGGAGATGGAGGAATGGGTGGTGATCCTTTTGGGACATATGGAAATGCTCAAAACAAGTAGGATCTTAAATTCATAAACTTTGGAAAAGAGGGAACAAATAAATTGTATTGTTTCTGTTTATTGATTTGAATGGCATATATTTTATTGCTTTCTTAGATTGAAACTTGGTATACAATGCAATAAAATATAAGGTTATATCAAGGGGACAGTTGGTTATTATGTGCTATCAAGTCAGTGTTGGCTTTTAGTGATCTCATATGCTCTATGATGACAAGAATAGGTTGGGTGCATCTAAGTCTTATAATTTTTAATAGGAATTAACTTAAAACTAAAAATTATTGGTTAATTGAAAATAAATTATATTCAAATAATTTTGTTTTGATTAAAGCTGTGTATCTGTGTCCTTAATGTCACAATCTCTAGTATTTCATGATTCAATTTTATTTTGCAAGTATTGGCAATTGCAATAACAGTTGAACTAAAGATCTCCCACATTCTCCCAAAAGGTTTAGTTACAAATACCAGACATAGAAGCTAATACTTAGACTTAGATGCTAGTAACAATATTATTACTACATTTTTAATGATCTTTAAAGCTGAGATTTTCCAAGTGGCTTAGAAATTTATCAAAAAATGCCTAGTGAGTTATTTCAGTGTGGAAAGATGGAAACAGATTTATGAGCGCATAAATAGATTATGCCCTGTAGGCTTCACAAAAGAAGCTCAGAACATATTGTGCCTAAGGTATGTTATATTAAAAATCCAAATACTGAATTTGCTAATACTAACTACCAATTCAGTCTTCCACACACCCAGTTGGATGACTTTGTGCCAGTCACTTTCTCTCAGCCCTAGGAAGGAGGAATGGCAAACTACTTCTGAAAACCCTTGCCAAGAAAACTGCAGGGATTAGTCCAGGCTATTACCGGGAGTCACTACTGTCTCAAAGGAACACATGTACACAAAAAATGTGCTCTTGCTTTAGTTCTGAAATGTTTTTCTCTTCCTCTTCACCTTCGCTCAATATGTAATGAAGGAGATATAATTTCAGATCTTTTCTGAGGAAGAAAAATAGCAGAAAGGGCAAAATGTTTGTCACCAAGGTAGTTTTGTACTTTTTCTTTGCCCTTATCGCATGATTGCAAGGAGGTGCTGAGAAGTAAGCGTCATTCAATTTAAACTTCCTTCTCTTAGAAAATAAAGAATAGCTTTACTAATGCTAAGTTCTGTTGGAAGAATGTATTCCCTGTGGCTCGTTTCTGCCTCAGACACTGTAGTTTGCAAAGTTGCTGCTTCAAAAAATGTGAAGTGTGCCCCTTGCTTACCAAAAATGCCAATCCTGATTTATCTAGAGATTGAAAATGCAACTCAAATAATACAACTAAACTCTAAGAACCCCTTCATCCCAAACTTTTTTTTAATTGCATTTCTTCTGAAAACATTGAACAAGAATGGGAAAACGTTTTTGTCAATATGTAGTGAAGGATAGGAAGAATCTAAATGTTTTGTATAAATGAATGCAACCCTTTCTTTCTTGTAAGAGAAATTCCATTTTAAAAAAGTACTGTTACAAATTCTTTATTTGCGTTCAACAGGTCAACACTGCTAGGCAAAGTACTCAGAATCAGCGTGGAAAACAATGATGTTGGACCTCTTTATCAAATCCCTCCTGATAATCCTTTCATCAATGAATCAAAAGCCCGACCTGAAGTCTATGCTTATGGGGCAAGGAATATGTGGCGTTGTTCTTTTGATAGGGGTGATCCCACTACAAAGGAAGGGAAAGGGAGGCTTTTCTGTGGTGATGTAGGACAGAATAAATTTGAAGAAATTGACATTGTGGAGAAAGGGAGAAATTATGGCTGGAGAGCAAGAGAAGGATTCAGCTGTTATGACAAAAAACTTTGCACCAATTCCTCTTTAGGTAATTATGGGGTTTGAGTAATTGAAGTAAATAATGTATGGGGGAAAATATTTTCATATTATTTTGTTCTCTTTTATAGCTTATATCTATAAAAAGTTTATACTTGATTATAAAAATGGTTATTTTGCATGCTATATGTATAATACTACCTTTTCCCCTTCTGCAGATGATGTCCTTCCAATATATGCTTATCCCCACAAAATGGGGAAATCGGTTACAGGAGGTTATGTCTATCGAGGTTGTGAGTCTCCAAACTTGAATGGGCTCTACATATTTGGAGATTTTATGAGTGGGTAGGTGACAGTAGGCCGGCTATTAAGTAAATGATGAATTAGATAATAATAATAATAAAGTTGGAAGGGACCTTGGAGGTCATCGAGTCCAACCCCCTGCTCAGGCATTAACCCTACACCATTTCAGACAAATGGCTTCCAGTGTTGGAGCATTCACCGCTTCTGGAGGCAGGTTGTTTCATTGGTTAATTATTCTAACTGTCAGGAAGTTTCTCCTTAGTTCTAAGTTGCTTCTCTCCTTGATCAGTTTCCATCCGTTGCTTTTCATCCTGCCTTCAGGCGCCTTGGAGAATAGCTTGACTCCCTCTTCTTTGTGGCAGCCCCTGAGATATTGGAACACTGCTATCATGTCCCCCCTCGTCCTTCTCTTCGTTAAACTAGACATATCCAATTCCAGCAACCGTTCCTTATATGTTTTAGCCTCCAGTCCCCTAATCATCTTTGTTGCTCTTCTCTGTACTCTTTCTAACATCCTGTGTTAGTTACAGTGTTTAAGGCAGCTTTAATCTTTGCTGATAACCTTCCTAACATTTAGCAATATGCCATCCCTTGCTACTCTATTGCAGTTGATGTGTCCATCATGTTATGTCTCTGCTATATGAATGTACATGTGTATAAATATTAAAAATTGGATGAACTATTAGTGAACCACTAATAAAAGTGTACCATTGAATACCTCATAGTAAAATGCCACTGTTTAGAAACTGGTTATTCATTTTAAGAAGGATTATATGCTACTGCTATGACCATAAGTGTTAAACATACAGCTCTCAATATTTTGATATGTTTGCAGTATTTAATAATTAAATTCCAAATCTAGTTGACCTTTATAATTTATATAGTTCAATGTCTCATATGTAGTTAACTTTAAAGAAACAATTAGTTCAATGTCTCATATGTGGTTAACTTTAAAGAAACAATTATACCTGAACCAGGTGGTCCTCACTTACCAATTACAATTGGGACTGGCAACTCTGTCACTAAGTGATGTGGATGTAAAGTGAAACATCTTGTGACCACACCAACTTACGATGTCAATTTCAGCTGCAGTCATGAAGCTAATCACTACAGGTCATTAAACACAATGTCACATGGCTGCAACTTGTGACTTCTTGCCAGGTTCTCCATTGGCTTTGCTTATTGGAAACAGGCTGTAAAGGTTGCAAATTTTCTGTCTCAGGTTGCAGACACACACACACACATAGTTGCTAAGGAGCTGTGCAGATAACAGTAGACAAGATCGTAAATCAAGGAGTAGGATAGTTAAAAGCTGTTCTCCTTGGTTTATTTCATACAAATCACTATGGTTTTTTTTTCCTTTTCATCTTTCAGACGTCTCATGTCCTTGAAAGAGAATCAAAAAACTGGAGAATGGCAGTACAATGAAATATGCATGGGAACAGGCCAAACATGTATGTTTCCTGGACTTATCAATAACTATTATCAATACATCATCTCTTTTGCTGAAGATGAGGCAGGTAATAGCTTGATTCTTTAAATATGCGGCTAATATTCTCAAGCATGGGAAAAGCATAAAATTATAAAGTTCAAATGATCAACAGGAAACATGAGTTTCCAACTTTTGGGCATAGAAGCATTTGAAACTTTGAAAACATGTCACAGATAGAAAACCCCTGCTAGCAAATTAATTCCTTTGGATTTCTGTGCAAATATAGACATTTTTAATAGAAGATAGATAGATAGATAGATAGATAGATGGATGGATGGATGGATGGATGGATGGATGGATGGATGGATGGATGGATAGATATACTGTATAACTAAAATATAGTTTTATGTATATACGTACATATATACACATATACATACTATACACACACACTCTGTGTCTATGTGCTGTATGTATGTAATTCTTTTAATATTTAAAGAGTGAATACTGTATTAGCATGTCAGCTAAATAGCTGACTTTTTGCAGGACTACTTTTGTTATATAGTAGTTCTCCCCAGCTACTCGGCTACTAGACACTTTTTCATTGCCTATAATTTCCATTCAGCATGCTAAAACCTGGCCGGGCAGGATAGAGTTGTCCATCCTGACTGCATAAAATTAGAGAAGTTTGGTGTATAGTTTGAAGTTATCATGTTTCCCTGAAAGTAAGACTTACCTCCCGAAAATAAGCCCCAGCTTGATTTTTTGGGGGTGGACCTAATATAAGCCCTACCCCAAAAATAAGCCCTAGTTTTGGGGCGAGGTGCACATCTAAAAATTAAGCTGGGGGGTGGAGCTGCCCCATGCACCCCATACCCACTTACCAGGCTCCCATGAATCGACACCTGCGTCTCCTCACCGGCCCACTTCTTCTGTGGTGTCCCCCGGCCTGCATTTCGCAATCAGAGGTCTTTCTGGAAGGCCTCTGTAGCTGAGAACCAAGCTAAGGATTCAATCTGTAACTCAGTTCTCGGCTGCAGAGGCCTTTCCAGAAGGCATCTGACGGCAAAATGCAGGCCGGAGCTTCATTCTATGCTGCAGAATGAAGCTGCTCCTTTGGTCGCAGAAGTGGGCTGGCTGGGCGGGGCTATTGGTGCCACCACTGTGAGGTGAGTGACACCCCCCAAAAATAAGACCTGGTGCCTCATTTGGAGGCAAAAAAATATTAAGACCGGGTCTTATTTTCAGGGAAACATGGGATAAGTGATATGGAATAGATCTGTACTATTTTTGTGAGAATAGATGATTGAGTGGCTGAGGAAAGTCTATTGGTATGATCATATTAAAAGCAATAGAGATTAGTAAAGGTTCTCTTGAACTGGGACTAATTCTTGTATAAAATCATGCAATTATTTTGGTCAGCAACACAGAAATGATATAACATTGCCTCCTTTGAACTCTTCAGTTTAGTCCATAGCTCTGGGATTTCTTGGTGGATTCCCATTCATGAACTTCACCAGATACCTCAGTGTATTCGGAGTCCAGGCATGCATCTGCCTAATTTTAATTGAAAGTTCTAAGTAATGTGTCAGAAATCTTTATGCATTGTCTTAAACATTGGTTTCTGACTGGTTTTTCTGATGTCAGATTACTTTCTTTGCCTGGTGGGCCCAAAGAAATACATATAAACAATTTGTTTCTTTTTTGTTGTTATTTCCTAAAGGGGAACTTTATTTCATGTCAACTAGAATACCAAGTGCCACTGCTCCGAATGGAGTCATTTACAAAATAGTTGACACATCACGGTAAGACATGCAACATTTTTGCTCATAAACATATAAATGCTGATGTGAAGAAAATTTTGGCCTTATTTACTGAGTTTGAGTCTTATCATAGTTAAACTGCCAACCTTTTATTGAATCTGCAACTTCTGTACTTCTAGCAGTGAATTTCCTCCATTGGCAATGACTACTTGGCCATTTATGTAGGTTCTTCGATGTTATTTATCTTTATGATACTCTGTGTTTTTTCTCTTAATTTCATCAGGAGAGCATCACCTGGAAAATGCCGTGTTGACCCTTTGCCAGTAAAAGTGAAAGGCAGGCTCATTAAATTTGCTCCAAAGGAAAGTGAGTAATGGAGATACATATTATTGAGTATTAACCTTGGGGAATTCTGGGGCTAAACAATTGATTCATGCAAGGAAATGAAGCTAATATTCTGATTAATGAAAAAAAGTGAATCTTTTGCTTTCAAGAAGGTGAGCTCATTGGCTGCAAGATAGAGTGGACATGGAATACAATAACTGAAAGAGAGTTTCATTAAAGCCAGCTTGGCATATACAGCCTATTACCATGGGCAACTCCAGTTTGTGATCATGATTTTTTTTTGTCTTAAAAGGGTCTACTTTTGGTGGACCAGAGAACAGGAAACCCCTCACACTGCATTGAAAACAGAATTGACATGGTGGTAGGGGCAGAAGGGCAATTCTGTCTTCAAGTGCCCAGCACCTCCCAAGTTTTAATAATTAAGGCAGCAGAAATAGGGACGGACTTGCTCTGTAAAGCAGTCGTTTTCTCTACCCTGGCCCATCCAGCCCTCTCAATCTCAAATACGTTACTGACCAGTTTCATTTGTTTTTCATCTGGTTATGAAAGACAGCAATCCTTAATCTGTTAGGCAGCTTCTCCTGTTGCCATCGGCAGTTCAGTTTTTGTATCAGATAATACGGTTTGAAGGACCTGTTAAAAATACTTCCCTTTGTTATTCTCTGCCAGAACTGATAGTGAAAATGCCTACACGGGATCATAAGATAAAAGCCACAACCAGAGTCCCAGCAAGGAGTAAAGTAACTACAGAGTCTTCACAAGGCACAACTCCAGACTGGATGGAGCAACTCTTGACTCTGCTTAGGAATCAGAACGGATGGCAGATGACTACTATAGCACCAAAACCCAAACTTTTAAAGCCCAGGAAAGGAGGAAAACCTGGGAGGAGACCACATCGAAGAAGGAAGAATAGGCCTACCGGTGTCTCTCGACAGCCACAGAATGGTGCAGTCCGACTCATGAATGGCAACACAAGAGGCAGAGACCAAGGCAGGGTTGAAATTTTTATCAATGGAGAGTGGGGCACTGTGTGTGATGATTTGTGGACTTCTAAAGCAGCTGCTGTAGTTTGTCGCCAGTTGGGTTATGCTTTTGTAATCCGGGCCACCAAGAAAGCAGAGTTTGGGGAGGGACATTCACTTTCAATTTTACTTGACGATGTTCAGTGCGTAGGACATGAGAAGACCCTTCTGGAATGTTCCCATTCAGACATTGGAAAGCACAATTGTTCCCACAAAGAGGATGCAGGAGTGATATGCAGTCAAGAAGAAGTTTTTGAGTAGAAATACCTACAGTATAACATGAGTTTGTGCTGTGACTTTTTTAAAAAATAAGACCACATGAATACACTGTTATAGTTATCAAATTGGCATATGGTTTTAGAAATATATATGTCCATAGGGTAGGCCTGGATGGTAATGCTTCAGTATGCCCATGGGATACCCCTGCTTCACAAACTCCAGTAGTGGTTAACAGTATGGATCATCACACAGCCAGATGTTGAAACTGGGCATTTTTATTCACCTGTCAAGTCCTTCCCAAGGGCTTGGGATAGGCAGGTGCAGGAGTTTGATGATGTTAAAGGTATGTAAGCTATTCTGAGTAAAGCTGGCTGTTGCAATTGATCAGTGGTGATTTTGTCAATGCCAGCCCTGCTTTATGGCATAGTACAATTATCAGAGGGACCATCTATGTCAATGCTGCTTACCTATCCAGTACAAGACAATAGGTCAGTGTTCTCCAAATCCTATTAAACAGTCATCTACTAGCACCCAAGAAGCATGCCTTCTTTGCCATAGTGCCTGTTGTCTGATACGGTCCTCCCTGATACTGTGGCCCCTACCTTGATGGCATTCAAGAAAGTCTAAAAATCTGGCATTCTCTCAGACTATGGGTTAACGTGGTTGGGACTTTCTGCAGGTTTTGTTTGGAGATGTGGATTGTGAAGTCTGTTTGCCAGACTCACCAACCATTCTAATTCTCTACCCTGCTCAGTGTGGAATTGGGTGGTAACTAAAGTGAATAAATTAAATTAAAGGGATATACTGTAGGTAAATACTATATCTCTAGAGTAAGTAATTGCTTGCCATTTGAAAGTGGAACACAAACTAAATAGTATTGGAAGATACCTTTTATAAATAAGCAAATATATTATGTTGAGTGTTTTGAATTAAATTAAACACCAGATGTTTATGTTCTTCTGTTTTCATTTTTTGTTACTTATAAGAATGTATATTACCTGATTGTGTTCTACAAAAGGAACATACCTGTAACAGAATCATTATGGAAAATTTAATAAAAATGAAGGACTACAATCTCTGAGAAAAACAGAAAGCCGGTGCTACCATATTCTTCTTTGTTCTGAAATAGGTGCTAAATTTAGTCCTGTGTTGAATTATATATTTATTGCAACCTCATTGATTAACTTTAATCATCATGGCTAAAGAATTTATATTCATATTCTAGTCTTAAACCAGACTAGAATATAATTTATTTAATTCTGGAATGATCTCTTGTATGAATTCAGGCACCTGTGGTTCACTCAGTAATGGGTTTTAAACGAGATCTTAAAATAGTGTACAAGTAGTTTTCAATTTATGATCACAATTGGGAGCAGAATTTCTGTTGCCAAGCAAGGTGGGTTTATCTGATTTTACGATAATTTCTTGCTATATTTGTTAAGGGAATCACTGTTGTTGTTAAATGAATCTGGTTTCCCCCATTGATAGCTTTTCAGAAGCTGGCTGGGTAGCTCTCAAATGGCAATCACTTGAACCCAGGACACTGCAACTGTTATGAATACATGCTGATTGCCAGGTCCCTTGATTTTGATCACACAGAGATCCCCCAAACTGTGGGGATGTTGCAACAATTATAAGTGTAAGGGATCAGTTTTAAGCCCCCTTTTTTTAGCAGTTATAATTTAGAACAGTGACTAAATGAATGGTTGTAAGTCGACTACCTGTATAAACCTACCATTAAGAATAGCCTAAAACTATCCATTAAGAATAGCCTAAAAAAAAATTCCATTATATACCTATAATAATTAAATACATCATATTATAATTTCCCCCTAATCGCCTCCCCTCCCCGACTTCCCAGAACTAACGCACCCTAAAGCAATCAGTTATATAGAAAAAACTTTAACTCGAATAAAAAACAAAAAAACAAAAATTATACTATTTTAACACCAACACTCATATATAATTATCCATCTTCCCCCAATCCAAATATCTAAAAATTAGACTTTACCATTTCTCATTATAATAATCCCATTAAATACAAAAATTAAATCCTTTAAAATATAATTATATATCATTGATCATCTACTTCAAGACATTCATATAAATTCATTCTTCTTATTTATAATACTAATCCAAAATTTTAAAAATATAAGCTTCAAAAACAATCCTTAAAAAAAACTTTAACTCAAATAATAGAAAAAATCTATTTTAACACCAACACTCATAATATAATTGTCCAACTCCCCCAATCCAAATATCTAAAAATTAAACTTTACCATTTCTCATTACAATAATCATAAATCCTTTATAATTATATATCATTAATTATTCTCCCTTTCTAATACCTATATTTCCCTTAAGAGTATAAGGCATAATCTATAGGAAAGACATATTCATATCATTTGGTGTCCTTACGTTATGTATTTTTTAATGTTTTTATGGTACCTAAGGAAAAATATAAAGAAGGAAGCACCGTACAAAAATTAGGATTCTAGGTATAACAGGTTTTACAACTACTACATTCATGTTGGGTGAAAGGTATTTTCCTACTTCAAATCCAACATACCTATGGCTTAGATTGTAAATATAGTACAATGTTGGATTCTTGATTTCCTTTTTTATTTTGGGATGCATCAGTCCCAATAATCATGTATTTTTATGATTGTGATCACTTTTTCCTGGAGGAAGGACAGAGCAACTGAGCATTAATGAGTAGAAGGGAATCTCAAGAAACTGAATAGTGGAACAAAGAAACATTTGTCAGAAACTTTCAGAATGCGAGATTGGCAAGATTGTAGCTATTAGGGCATAGTCCAAGCGATTCCCTCCCACTCTGTTGAAAAGTTGAGAAGGGAAGTCCCTTGGCAATTAAAGTCAATCCAGAGGAGCCCAAAGGTGGAGCAAAGGAGATGGGCTGGAATTGCAAATTCTCTGGAGGACTTCCTGAGTGGCATGTCTCTTTTGCAGCATGTAGCCCTCTAATCGCCATGGACTGAAGAAGGCTGATGTCCGGAAGACAGAATTAGCTAAAACTGGCCAGTGAACGCTATGTGGAACTCCACATCAGACAATTGTCAACGTTGGCTTAAGAATCTAGGTATTAGACACAGACAAACAAACCCATATACACCAGTTGAAAACGTAGTAGCTGAAAGGAAAAATGGCATATTACAGACAATGAAGGACACACTATTTGCAGATGCAGGCATGAGTAGAGGGTACTGAGGAGAAGCCATAAAACGGCTAACTATTATTAAATAGATTATAGAGTTCTCCAACATGATGGCGGAAGAATCCACCAATGGGTTATTTCAGTCCTACTGCCCAATCAGGTCAAGTTGTCACGCCTCTTCTTTGTCTGGGACTTCCCAGTTTTCATCTTGGTCTTGGCCCACGAGGACGTGATAACTTGACTCTCTGTGACTATTGGAGCAGGTCAGGCTAGATTTTTCTTTCTTTGATCCATTGGTGGATTCTTCTAAAATATTGGAGAATAGTAGAGGTATTCCCCTCAGAGAAAAAAAAAACTTATTCCCTTCCCCTTCCCCTTCCCTTCAGGGTTGTTTCCCCTCCAGGACTGGGGGGTGGGGTGGTTTCCCTTCCCTGAATTCAGCTAAAATTGCTGAGCTATTCCCTCTCAGGTTAAAGTGGGGGGAAGTTTTTCGTTTTCTTTCATTTCGCTGAAGGGGGCTTTGAACTTTACAGCCCCCTAGCCAGTGCGTGCGTGCTTCTCTGGCTGCTGGCCGCACCTTGAAGCCTTGTGGCTTCGTTTCTGACCGGGCCCGGTCAGAAAGACTTGCAGCCGCCTTTTTTTTTTTTTTTGCGGAGCTGCCTTCGCTGGAGCTCTTTCGGCCCGAAGCACAGCTGAGTGGCTGGCTTCGAACAGTGGGGGAGGGGGGTTCTATGCCTAGCCCTTGCCTTGCCTTCGGCTGCTGCTGAGGAGGAAGCCTCGTTGAATTTCAGAGGTGAGCGGTTTGCGTGCCTAACGGCAGACTTACTTGTTTTATCCGCCAATGGGAGGACATGACCACAGACTCCTGGGTTCTGCGCACCATATCAGAAGGCCTGTCCCTGGAGTTCAAATCCATGCCGAGGAATCATTTTGTGTCTTGCCCGACCATGAGAAACTCCATAAAAAGAGGACTCATGGAAGACGCCATTCAGCATTTACTCTCCATCAAGGCTATAGAGGAGGTCCCCCTGGATCAGGTGGGACAGGGGTATTACTCCATTCTATTTGTAGTTCCGAAGTCCTCAGAGGGATGGAGGGCAATCCTCGATCTCAAGGGACTGAATCTCCACCTTTATTACAGGAGGTTCAAAATGCAGACGTTACAGTCCATCTTAGCCAGCATAAGACAGGGGGATCTATTGACCTCCATAGATCTAAAGGAGGCATACCTACACATCCCTATCCTCCTGGACCATCGCAGATATCTGCGATTCTGTTACCTCAACCGCCACTTTCAGTACAGGGCTCTTCCATTTGGCCTATCCTCAGCACCCAGAGTCTTCACCAAGATACTGGCGGTGCTGGCTGCTCATTTAAGGTTAGTCCCTATCCGGGTACAGTGTTATCTGGATGACATTCTGATCCAGTCCCTGTCGATCTCAGACGCCCAGTCGGACTTAGCCCTCACAATAAACACCCTTCAGAAACACGGGTTCCTGATAAATTTCAAAAAGAGCCAGTTGGCTTCCTCTACCTGCCTACTACATCTGGGCGCGGTGATAGACACGGAAGCTTGTCACATGTACCTATCAGAGGAGCGATGCAGGAGCATCAGGGATCTGGCACTCAGAGTGTGCAGAAGCAGGACCGTGTCACTGGCCACACTTTCTCAACTTCTGGGGAAGTTAATATCTTGTATTGCAATAGTGCCATGGGCCCGCTTACATGCGCGGGACCTTCAATGGTTCCTGCTCCCGTATCAGAGACGGCACACCAGCACATCCAACCAATTGGTGCGCGTTCCTCATCAGGTGCGCCTCTCTCTCGGCTGGTGGCTTTCATCGGCCATGCACAAGGGGACTCTATTCAAAGAGCCCAGTCGGGTCAGGGTGACCATGGATGCAAGTCTCTTCGGTTGGGGTGCACATCTGCAGTCAGAGATGGCTCAAGGTCAATGGTCACAGACAGACCTCAGACACAGCATAAATTGGCTGGAGCTCAAAGCAATCCACCTAGCTCTCAAGCACTTTCAAACATCAATCATGGGGAAACAGGTATTAGTCCTAACGGACGTGGCTGCAAAAGCCCACGTAAATCATCAGGGGGGCACCCCGTCCAAGTCTCTCATGACAGAGGCTCAAGCCCTGAACTCCTGGGCAGAGAAACACCTGCTTTCCATCAGGGCCGAGCATATCTCGGGAGAGGCAAACAGGCAGGCAGACTTCCTCAGCAGGACGCTAGTGGATCACTCGGAGTGGATGTTACATCCAGATGTCTTCCGAGAACTCTCAGACAGATTTGGTCGTCCGATAGTGGACCTGTTTGCCACACCGGGGAACACCCAGCTGCCCAGATTCTTTTCTCGGTTCCCCTCCCAAGGGGCAGAGGGGGCGGATGCCCTGTGCAGCCAGTGGCCACAAGGCCTGTTGTACGCCTTTCCCCCACTACCTCTGCTTCCAGCAGTTATCAGAAAGATCCTGGAGGAGCAAGCGGAGGTGATCTTTGTAGCTCCTCACTGGCCCAGAAGGCCTTGGTTTGCAGACTTGGTGAGCCTTTCAGTCTCAAACCCATGGAGGATCCCCGACGGCCGAATACAGTTGGCGCAGGGGGATCTTCAACATCCGGACCCCCAATGGCTTCAATTGACCATTTGGCATTTGAACGCCGCACCCTGACTAGGGAATCGCATTTGGCGGAGGTGATTGATATGATCCAAGCGGCCAGGAGGCCGGCGACTAACCGTATTTACGACCATACGTGGAAGGACTTTTGTCGTTGGTGCGACAGGAATCACGTGAGTCTGTCACAGGTAACCATTCCCAGGGTGCTAGAGTATTTGATGGAGGGTGTCAAAAAAGGGTTGGCGCCCAACACTGTCCGCAGTTAGCGGCACTTTCCTCAGTGCTCTCGTGGGATTC